AGTAAATTCTCTGAATTTACACTTAATTGGAAAATTACTTTATTCTTTGTTCTTAAAATAAAACTTTTTGGTAAATAAGTGTAATTTGACCATTTTTTCCTCTGAAAAGAATAAAGGTATTATTCTTCTGTCTTCTTTCTGTCTTTTTTTTTTTTTTAGAGATGGGGTCTCCTTATGTTGCCCACGCTGTAGTGCAATGGTGTGATTGTAGCTCACTGCAGCCTGGAACTCCTGGGCTCAAGTGATCCTCCCACCTCAGCCTCCCAAGTAGCTGGCATGTGCCACCCCCTGGCTTGTCTTCTGACTTTCATTGTAGCTGTTAAGTCAACTATCAGTACAGTTATTGTCCATTTGTAGGAATGCTCTCTTTTGTCTGGCTGTTTTTGATATTTTAACTTTAATTTTGGCGTTCTGAAATTTCATTATAAAGTAACTCGGTATGGGGCCTTTTTATTCGATGGAAATTGATTGGGATTCTTGAACACATGGATTAGTGTTTATAGTAGGCAGAATAATGGACCCTCAAAGGTATCAACGTCCTAATCTCCAGAACCTGTGAATGTTAGGTTACACAGCAAAGGAGGATTAAGATTGCAGTGGGATTAAGATTGCTAATCAGATGACTTCAAAATAGGAAGAATATCCTGGATTATCCAGGTAGTCCCAATAAAATCATAAAGTTCTTTAAAAGAAGAAGAGGGAGGTGGAAGAGATCAGGAATGATGTAATGTGAAAAAAAACTTAACCTGTTGCTTCTGGCCTTGAAGATGGAGAAAGAGGGCCATGAACCAAGAAATGTAGGTGCCTCTAGAAGCTGGATAGGGCAAGGAAACATTCTCCCAGAGAGCCTGCAGAAAGAAACACAGCCCTGCCAACATCTTGATTTCAGTCTAGTGAGACCTGTATTGTACTTCTGTTACGGCAGGGCTGACCGAGAATAGACCGAGAGACACATGCAGAGATTTTGGCAATACAGGTTTTATATGCCGACCGGCAAGACTCGGAGGGGAATTTGCTCTCCCCAAATTCTGAGCACCAGACAAAGAGCATTGCAGTCTTTTATACACTGTTTAAGGAGGAGGCGCACGGCTATAACAGGGTTAACTTTAGTGAGGCAGGGTCCTGAGCCACTTTTACAGCCTGGTACACTAATTGCTACAGGTGATTTATGAGAGGAAGGTCGCAGGTGAGGAGGGGGCCCAGGTAAGGATCGCAAGGAAAAAAAGCCCGGTAGTGGAATTTCTAAGAATTCCACTTTAGTGGAATTTTCCAATCTTCCACTGCACTTCTAGCCTACAGAAAAAGTGGTAATAATGTTGTGGGGTTTGTTTGTTTGTTTGTTTTTTGAGACAGCGTCTTGCTCAGTTGCCCGGACTAGAGTGCTATGGCATCACCCAGATCACAGAAACCTCAAACTCGTGGACTCAAGCCATCCTCCTGCCTCAGCCTCCTCAGTAGCTGGGACTACAGGCATGCGCCACCATGTCTGGCTAATTTTTCTATTTTTTTTAGAGATGGGGTCTGGCTCTTGCTGAGGTTGGTCTGAACTCCTGACCTCAAGCAATCCTCCTGCCTCAGCCTCCCAGAGTGCTAGGAGTACAGGTGTCAGCCACCCCACCAGGCCTTTTACTCAAATTTTCTTTGTGTTTTTTTTTGTTGTTGTTGTTCACCCCTCCCTTTTACTCAAATTTTCAATGTTATCTTTTATTTCTTTAAAGATATTAAACATTCTTATTTTATATTCTGTATCTAATAATTCTAGTATCTGAGGTTTTTTTGAGACAGCATCTAACTCATGGTACCTTGTTTTCTTGTGTGTTTTATGACTTTTGACTAAAAGCTCATGGTTCTCATTATCTGTGGAAATTGTTTGAAATCTGGGTTGAAGAGTGTTTTCCAGAGAGGATTTTCTTTTGCTTATACCAGCTGTCTAGGGGCACTACCAACCTAGGACGAACTTAAAATAAATTTTGAGCAAAAGGTGTTTGGGACTACACGGATATTAAGAGCTACGAAGGATCTGAGATTTTACCCTGCGACAGTTGCATGGATGTTGGCAGAAAGACATGCTACTATTGGGTCAGAGACAGTTTATTACTCAAAGCAATAGCGGTAGTTAAAGTTTTGGTTCCCAAGTTCCAGTTTCCACAGGGCAATACAAAGTGGGCCAGGTGACATCTGTACATGCAGAGGGTTGCATTTTAGGAAAGGAGCCCTGAACTTAGGGAACATGGACGTTTTGTAATGGCAGTAAGCATGCCTTTCTTTTTCTCCCCAGAGATAGTCATTGTCACTATATTCTAACACCATAAACAAATCTGCCCTCTGGTCTGGAGGGAGATATCTTTATCTTCCAAGACTGCTGAGTACACAGTCTTTGTTCCACACTAAAAAGATAGTGTGGAACAAAGGCAGTTAGTGCCTCTGCTCACCAGATGGGCAGAAATGTGAGAGACTCATGAAGAATTTCTCCTGTAATAGGTAGTTTGAATCTGGGCCATAAAACCATGCTTGTATTTAAACAGATGTTTTTCATGTCCCACTTGGCATTTTAATTTTCTTTTTCTTTCCTTTCTTTCTTTCCTTTTTTTTTTTCTTTTTGGTAACAGGCTTACTCTGTATCTGATCTGCCTTACTGCCAGGGTGGCTGAAATGCAGGGAGGAAATCATAATTGAAGCTTGGGTGTCCTGAGTCACCTGAAAAAATGAATGCTAAAGGCTATTCAGCCTTCTGCTCTTCATCCAGAAAGCTGTCAGGTTTGGGAAAGAATATTGTTAACCAACATGTCTGGGAAATGAGGTTTTTCAGTTAACTAGGTTTTTTTCCCCCAATTACCTAAAACTTTTCCTGCTTTGGGGTTCATACCATCCCACATAAGGTGGCTACACACAGGATTCTCTACACTATATATAGTCACTGCACATAGTTGCGTTCATTGATTTTTTTGGTTGGCACCTTTATTTTTTTTTACTTTTATTTTTTTTCTTTTCTTCTTTTTTCATTCTCTTTTTATTTTTTTCTCCCCTTCCCTGTTATCTCAGGTTGGCATCTTTAGAAATGCAGCATACTTCCAATTTCACAACTTTGATATAGGAACTACTTGGATCCCTGCAGTGTTAACACACTCCGAAAACTTGCTACTCAAAGTGTGGCCCACGACCAGCCCCAGCAGCAGCATGGGGTTGCAATTAGAAATGGTGACTCTGTAACCATAGAGCCTAGTAAAAGAAAAAAAAGAAAAGAAGAAATGGAGACTTTCAGCCCGGGTGACACAGCGAGACCCTGTCTCTTCAAAAATATAAAAAAATTAGCCAGGCATGGTGATGTGTACCTGTAGCCCCAGCTACGTGAGAGGCTTAGGCGGGAGGATAGCTTGAGCCCTGGAGTTCGAAGCTGTGGTGAGCTATGATCATGCGACTGCACTTCAGCCTGGGTGACAGAGCAAGATTCTGTCTCTGAAAAAAAAAAAGAGAGAGAAATGGAGACTCTTAGGCCTCTCTCCAGCCCTACCAAATCACAATTTGCATTTTAACAAGATCCATAGGTGGTTCTTATAAACATTAATCTTTGAGAAGCACTACTCACTGCTGAAAAAAAATACTTGAACAAGTTGTGGTTTCTTGCTGATGACTTTAGCAGTAACAAAATTTGGAGGCATTGTAATACAACTGTGAAATCATGGTTTCAAGAGTCAGAACCTGAGGTCCACTCCCCAAAACAGTGTGACCTTCAGCAAGTCCCTTAACATTTCTAATGTAGGTTTTTATTTCACAAGATTAACAGAACAAAAAGACATAATGTAAAAAATGTCTATGATGGTGCCTATCACATAGTTGTTCAATAAATGTTGGTTTACTTTTTTTTCCTTTCTCATGCCTTCCCTAGAGAGAATAAAATAACTTTTCCCCCATTATTCAACTGTATAGAAAAGAGTTTTTTATAAATCTGTGAGAAATGTCATGTATTAAAATGATTAACAGTTGTTCATGAGGTGAAATACACCTATTCACCTAAAATTCCACCTTCATGGAAATAAAAGTTTCCATGAAGGATGAAATACAGTGTATAATACAAGAGACATACAAAAAAAATTTAGATTAAAACAAAAGTTAAAATAATTAGGCAGAGCCAAAGAGTTCAAGGCTGTAGTGAACTATGATGGCACCACTGCACTCCAGCCTGGGTGATAGATCGGACCCTATCTCTAAAAACATTAAAATAAAATAATTAGGCTGGGTGCAGTGGCTCTCGCCTGTAATCCTAGCACTTTAGGAGGCCAAGGTGGAGGGATAGCTTGACCCCAGGAGTAAGAGACCAGCCTGAGCAACATAGTAAAACCCTGTCTCTACAAAAAAAAAAAAAAGTCAGAAATCTAAATAAGAAAATCACTTTTTTGAGTGATAAAAATTAAAAAAAAAAAAAAAGAAAGAAAGAAAGAAAGAAAAACTAGCCAGGCATGGTGGCACAGGCCTGTAGTCCCAGCTACTTGGGAGGCTGAAGCGGGAGGATTGCTTTAGCCCAGGTGTTTGAGGTTGCAGTGAGCTATGATGACGCCTCTGTACTCTAGCCCTGGGGACAACCCTCTGTCTCAAAAAAAAAAAAAAAAAAAGAAGTTAAAATAATTAAAAGTCGAGTAGGAAAAGACGTCTACTATGTAACTTAACACAGTTACTATAGGTGAGTTTGAAATGTAATACTGAGCTTCCTAATCACTCAAGCTAAAAGGAGAATTCAGTAAACTACATAAAGAAATTATTCCAGAGACAATTTTCTTCATACTAAGTTCCAAAAGGAACGCATTGTCTATGGCCATACCACCCTGAATGCGCCCGATCTCATCCGAAAGGAACATATTGCATGAGTCCTTGTCCAAGGTATATCAAATATTTTAGTGGGATATATTTTAATGGTTTAATTGAAAGTAGTTTTTAACATCATAAAAATGTGACTTTAAGAAGTCTCTGTTTTTTTATACTATTAATGCTAGACTAGGGACAGAACGAGGGAACGCCACGGAGGCAGGCCGGAGCCGCTGCCGTCGCCAGGGCCGGCGGTAGCCAGCGTGAGCTCGCCCGCCAGAATATGAAAAAGCAGAGCGACTGGGCTAAGGGAAAACGCCGTGATGAAGGGCTTTCCGCTGCCGCCCGCAAGCAGAGGGACTCGAGATCATGCAGCAGAAGCAGAAAAAGGCAAACGAGAAGAAGGAGGAGCCCAAGCAGCTTTGTGGTTTCCTGTCCAACCCTCTTGCCTGTGTGCCTGGAGCCAGTCCCACCACGCTCGCGTTTCCTCCTGTAGTGCTCACAGGTCCCAGCACCCATGGCATTCCCTTTGCCCTGAGTCTGCAGAGGGTCCCTTTCGTGCTTCCTTCCCCTCAGGTAGCCTCTCTCCCCCTGGGCCACTCCTGGGGGTGAGGGGGTTACCCCTTCCCAGTGTTTTTTATTTTTGTGGGGCTCACCCCAAAGTATTAAAGGTAGCTTTGTAAAAAAAAAAAAAATAGTAGACTAAATACAGATGGAATATAGGCTGAAATTTTCTCCTTGCATTACTAAAAAACAGCAGAAACTGAAAGAAAATTGTTTAAGCTCCCTAGAAATGGATTATCTCTAATCCTTAGAAAATTTAACTTACATAATCAAAGGAATATGTTATGTATCAGTTATGAACACGGTAAAACTTCAGCCTGAATTATTCTAACCTGTAGAGAGAGCATATAGAAAACTGGAAGGAAACATTTTTTTGCTACCTACCAAAAGGAACCACCTCTTCACTAGCCTATAAATAGTATCAACTTGCTCTTCCCACTAGGTTCATTCCTCGTAAAATAAATGAAGGTACATTAAAAAAAAAAAA